AATGATCCAAAACCAAGACTGAAGACGTGCTTGGGGCCTCGAGCTCACTCACTGTTTCAACTGTGGCGGGGAGGTCGCGGCAGAGCAACAAGACTTTATCCGCGAAGTAGCTCGCAAATGCCTCACAGCCAATGTCCAATTCCCTAGCGTTTGGTCTGCCCTGTGGCAGAGCTGTTGTAGACCAAATCGTTCTAAACTATTGGGCTGGGCGCGAGCTCGCAGATGCAATCGTAGCCGCGTAGTAATCTCTCTTCGCAGCTCTCATAGGATCTCACAAATGTCCCATAAGATGCTCTTGTAGCTTCGTCACTAGCGCGACGCCACCATCTCTCTAGCCATCTCAACTCTCGCTTCATAAGCCGTAACTCCTGGGTGAACCAGGGAGAGAGCCTAGAGCGAGAGCGCAGAGGGCGCCAGGGAGCAATCTCGTCGATGGCTGCAGAGAGCCGGCTATGCCAGTTCTCCACAAGCTCATCTAGTGAGCCACCAGGGGGCATCGGATCCCACAGAGCCATCTAGAACCGCACTGGGTCCATCTGGCTCCACGGGCAAGCTAAAATGTGCTCGCTGCCTAAACAGGGTCGGGGCAGCACATTCAGGCGGGCCTTCAGGGCATGGTGGTCTGACCATGGGACTGCCAAAGCAGTAACTCGGTCCACTGTTACCCCAGCCACAAAAATCAAATTGTGTGTGTGCCCAGCTCAGTGAGTGGGGGTCATTACATATTGGGAGAGTCCTAGCGCCGCCATGGACGACACCAGGTCCGTTGCTGAATAGAGGTTGCATCATTAGCATGGACATTGAGATCACCCAGGACTGTCAGTATAGGGTGTTCCATCAGGGACGGTAGGCTATTGGCCGGTGTGTTAGGCGGTCGGTACACCAGCCGAATCACCACACTCTCCCCGGCCTCCCATACCAGGCTGGCACACTCAATGCCCATGATCTTTGGCGATGGAAGCGCCCTGAAGGAGTAAGCTTATATATGTAATGCCCCTATGTGTGAGTGTGTGTGTGGCCTCATTTGGAACACTGTGTCTGATCACCGTTTCTTCAAAAGGCCATTGCAGAGTTGGGAAAAGTACAAAGGAGGGCAATCAAGATGATTAGGAGGTTGGAACACCTTCCCTATGAGGAAGGCTGGGACTTTTCAGTTTGGAAAAGAGTCAACTAAGCGGGGACATGATAGAGGTTTATAAAACTATGCATGGGATGAGAGACTTGACAAAGAAAATTTTTTCTCCCTCTCCTAAAATACTAAAACTCAAGGGAATCCAATGAAGCTGATGGGCAGTAGGTTCAGAACAGACAAAAGGAAATACTACTTTATACAAAGAGTGATTAAAATGGGGAATTCACCGCCAGAAAATGTAGTGATGGCCATAGGAGCAAACAGCTCTAAAAGGGGATTAGATAGATTCATGGAGGATAAGTCTATCAATGGCTACTAGCCATGGTGGCTGAGGGGAACCTACATATTCAGAGGCACTAAGCCTCTAAATTCTAGAACCAGGAGGCAACATCAGAGGAGGGCCTTGGCCTCTACGCCCCGTTGTTGGCCAACCAGGGGAACTGGTTGGTCACTGTGTGAGAAAGGATGCTGGACGAGATGGACTACTGGTCTAATCCAGCAGGGCTCTTCTTATGTTCTTATAATATTGGAAGTTAAGCAGGGTTGGTACTTGTCAACAAATCTTCCTTCACAAGCTCTACATAGGCTCTCTGAATCCTCACCTATTTAAGATGTTTAGCTCTTGATTAGGAGATACAAGTACAACAAAGAGGTCAAAAGGTACCTAGTAAATACACACATACGGCTCAGATGTGCTTACCTAGATACACACATACAGCAAAAAAAACCCCAAACACAAAAACCCACGCTTCCAAATTCAAACACAACTTTTATAGACAAATTGGTAGGTGTGCACATATTCTCACAATAATTTATCAGCATACGGATAAAGAAACTGTTGTAGACTGTGGGTTAGACATGCAACCTATCATTCGAATAGTAAAGGTAAAGGTAAAGGTTCCCCTTGCTCGAAAGCCAGTCGAGTCCGACTCTAGGGTTGCGGTGCTCATCTCCATTTCCAAGCCGAAGAGCCAGCGCTGTCCGAAGACGTTCCCGTGGTCATGTGGCCGGCATGACTAAACACCAAGGTGCACGGAACGCTGTTACCTTCCCACCGAAGTGGTACCTATTTATCTACTTGCAATTTCTTGCTTTCGAACTGCTAGGTTGGCAGGAGCTGGAACTAGAGATCATTCGAATAACGCTCAGCCAAATACTAGAAAACTCAGCTATCCTAACGGGGAGTCCAAAAAAAGTGGCTGGATTTTCGGAACTGGTATGGTTGCACTTAACCTAGGGAACCCCGGTTTCAAATACACCGGTGCGAGCCTAAATTTAACCCGCTTCACAGGATTGTTATGACCATAAAAGGAAAGACAAAAGTTCTGCGGGCGGAAAGGATACATAAAGCACAGCGATAGTTAACCAGAAGTGAATGATTCTGAGGATGCGCAAAAGGTGGGATGAAGCCCTTCCGCCCACCTCCATCTCCTCCAATCCACAACGCAGCTCACCTTTTTCAAACTCCGGGACTTTCAAATCCCGCTCCCACGTATCCACCTTTCGCAAGTGCTGGTAGACCAAGTTCGCCTTCTCTTGAGACGTCAACGCGTCCTCAAGCGCGTAGTCCAGCTGTGTCTGCGCGGCCAAAAGGGCGGCCAGCTCGCCGCCCGTCGCCATATTGTCTGCCTCGCTTCTTCTGTCTATGAAGTAATCCCAGAGGGCGCTCTTTGTTTACTGATCTGTCGTTTCGTTTTCAGCAGATTCAAGAAAATACTCCGTCCAGTGGCGGAAATAAGAAATCTGCAGCAAGACAATTTATTAATATCGTCTCATTAAAAAGATAAAAATTTCAATGGTTTTCTTTTTATGTAAAATGTATTCTCAAAAAAGCGCGGGCAACCGCATGTCCGGCAAACAAACAAAACGGAGTTGTGATTTGGATTCTGCCGATTCCGTAGAAAGAGTAGTCGGTATGATATTCCTAGTAAATGAAATGCAGGAAACAACAAAAATTTTGGATTCATGATAATCCAAAATATTATAATTTTATTTTTTTTAAGGATACAGTGCCGAGGAGAACAATTGTAGAAGAGAAAGTGCGCTTCCTGTTGGATAGCATGATTCGGGAGGAAGAAGGTAACAGATGCCGAAGAGAGAACGGAAGACGTGAAATTGTTGCTGACATCAGGTATGTGAGTAAGAAGAGGGTTGAGGAGTGCTTCCTGTGCCTGAGAAATATATATTCGCGGGAATCTACATAGGTATAAACGCGTGTTAAAGGATGTGCTTTAATTTCTGGTAAGTCAAGCGGTGAGCTCAGGGCATCTGTTTTGAGGGCAGAGTCCATTCATTGGGTTTTTTACGGGCTTTGTAGCACAAGCACCACGGCAGTGCCTTCTCTACTTACTTTGAAATCTGGCCTTTCCCCCTCTTTAAACATTGCTCTATCAACGTTTACTTAGGTATAAGCATCTCAGTGAGACTTAAACTTCCAAGTAATATTCCCAGAGGGATAGCAGTGTTATGCAACAAGAACAGGGGGGGAAAGACTCATAAGATTTTATTCCAACATAAAATTTTCTGAACTAGAGGCTCCTTTGTCAGATGTTGTGTAGCCTTTGTTTCTTGCTATTTTTCCACCCTTCATAACCTCATATATAAATGTGTGTGCTTAGTGACAACTGCATACATCTGACTAAATGGGCTCTAGTCCGTAAAAGATTATGCTGGAATAAAATCTTGTTAGGCTTTCAGATGTCACAAGATTCCTGTCAAGTCTTTACTTCCAAATAAGTATCGAGAGGATATGATTGTGCAAGACTTTGTCCTGGAAGGTATATAGTTGGTTTTCCTTTTGTGCTGAGGTGAAAAGAGGACCTTAAAGATAGAAAAGACTACATGATATTGATTTAGATCAAGGGTTTGCTGCAGTAATACGACCATTAATTCCTTAGATCAAAATTTTGTAATTGCAGGGTTTGTGCAGACCTTATTGCTGGGTGTTGGGAGGACCTTAGTCTGGGTAAGCTCGCATCAGCCATGTCTTTGTGAATAGGCAACTCCCTGTTTTTGATGATCTTTTTGATTATGGGTGGTGATAAGGAAAGGGGCGTGGAGAAAAATCAGCTCCACTTTGCTCTTGTGTCTGTAAGGTTCTTGCTCCACCACACTTTTCCCACCAAGCTTTCTACTGGTGGAAGAGCAACTACTTTCAGTTCCCTGTCCTCACAGCAGGTCTCCATGCCAGGTGGTTGTTTTTGTCTGTGGAGTTTCATGACCCAGCAGTACCTTTTCAAGGGTCACACTGGTCTCTTGTGAGGAGGGCAAGGCGTGAAGAGATCAGCCACTGTGGGTACCTTCTGGTCACACAACTGGTTAGTCTTTAAGGTCTTTTTGTGTTTGCTGTAGCATGGTATGGGTTGCATCCTATGGAGGATTTAGATGGGTGGATGGTTTTTGCCAGGCCTCCATTTGTATGGCAGACCTCTGACTTCCCATTCATGCTGCTCCTGGAAGCCCCTTGTCTTTCAGAAACAACATGTGGGGAGACAAGGGGGTATTTGGGACTGCAGCAAGAAAGAGCAAGGCAAGAAAGGTGTGATTTTATTTTTGGTCCTGCATGTGGCAAAATTTCTAGCAGCTGTTGTCAAATCACATGTCAACTTTTGCAGTAGCAGCCTTTAAATTCTTTCATGTTTTCCTGTAGATCAAGGTTTATTGTGGGACAAGGGTTTGCTATTTATGACTCTTGTTGCAAAAACAGTAAAGACAATAATTTTTTGGCAGGATCAAAGCCTTTGTGGCTACTCTCTAGATATTTTTCTTGCATTTAAGTAAGTTACTGTAGAACTAATTTACCATTTTTTGTATTGTTATGTATTTTAGGTGTTTGAGTCAAACAAAGAAGTCAGTGGAACAGTCATGCTATCCTCTAACTAAACTTCCCAAAAGCTGATATTACAAAGACTGTTGTCCCAGGAGGAACAATAGATTCAGAAAGTCTCCTAGTATCCTTAAAAATTTCCATGGTTGATTTTTAAAAACAACTCATAGAATTAAAATCTCTGCATTTGTTTGTCTATTAAATCCATATTTTTGCGGAGAGTGTTTTATGTTTGTGGCCTAACTTCATTTTTTAAATTGCATCTGAGTATTTTTGTCATACAGACCAAGGAAGTAAAAAAAAAAGTAAGACAAGAAAGTATATACATTGGAAAATATCGGAATGCTATTAAATTTTGAAGAAATATTTTTGAATGCTTTGGAGTTGTCATGTCTGAAGATGACCTGTTGGAAGAGGACATCTGGGAGTACAAATCTATTAGAAAACCGAAGTCACCATGCCAGACTTCAGAAGTCACCTCCACAAATGCACAGGAATCAAATGATGAAAAGAGTACATCACAAAGTAATGGCAGCAAAAGTAATAGGAAAATATCTGAAGGAAAATACAAGCCTAATAAACGAAAGCAAAGGCCAAGGCAGAGGGGCATTCAGACATCCTTAAAGCAAGATCAGAATGTTGGTGTTTTCAACAGTTGTGACCATGTTGTACAGTCCCAAGAAAGAACATCATCTTCAACAAAACCAAAGAGAAGCTGTAAGAAGAAAAGCCCTGTAAATGCACGTCCAGTGTATGAAGGATACTGCCCAAGTTGCCAGATGCCTTTCTCTTTGCTGTCGGTCCAGATGCCTCAGTGGCATGTTACTGAATGTTTGGACAGTGCAGGAACTGCTGAACAAGGTACAGTAATGGGTAACAAAATGCTCCTCCAGTATGGTTTTTACACGCCCTATTCCTGTGTCTTTAAGAGCAGTCTGACTCTCAGAGATTTAGGAGATGAAATATTTTCAGTGCCATGAAAAGAGCATGCCTGTGCTTTTAAAAGCCCAGGAGCAAAGCCAGTGAAAAGAAAAACAGCAACCTTACTCTCTACTGAAAAATAACTTCTATAATATTAGATCAGGTTTTAAATTGGAATTGCAACTCTACATGTAGCATTACCTGATAAAGTAAAAATGTATATCAAATTTTTGGAGAAGAGTCTGACTTAGGGGTGTGCATGCAGATCTACCTGAGCCGAAAATATACCCAAATAATACCTTATTGGTGTTTTCTGAATATATTTTGGCTTACCAAATGTATCCAGGTTTTCTCAGGAAAGCTGCAGGGGAAATCCTGGATACATATGGGAATTACCAATAGATCCAACAACAGCAGAAAGGCGGGAGTAACCTGCTCCCGCCTCTCAGCTGTTTGTCACGCTTCTATTACAGTCCCTCTAAAGTTTAAAGGGGCTGCAGAAGCCAGCCCAAGGATCAGCTGTGAGAGTGGGGGGCAGACTGTTCCCACTGGCTTGGCTTGGGGCTGGCTTCTTCTGCCCCAAAAGCTGCTGTGCCACAGGGAGCAATCTGCTAGGTGTGGCTTCTTGTGCCCCAAAAGCTGCTGTGCTACAGGGGGCAATCTGCTAGCTGGCACAGCAGTTCCTGGGGCCAACTTCTCTTGCAACACAGTTTAAACCATGCTGCAGGAGAAGCCCTCCCAGCCAGGTCTGGGATTTTTCCAGAAACACCAACATTTTGGGGGGGTCCAGTAGACCCAAACCATAAAATACTGATTTTTTAAAAAAATTGCACAACCCTAGTCTGACTGTTGTGGAGTACACCTGGCTCCTTTTTAAATGCCAGAACATCTGTGTGTGTGCATGTGAGACAGAGGCTTGCAACATCTGACTGAGCCCTGGATGTGCAACAGAGCAGCTTGGTGTACTGTTGGTGGGATTTCTTAAGCAGTCAGTTCACTAAATCTTGAGTAACTAAACCTTGCTCTTAGAAAGCACAGATAATCAGGAACAAGCAATTTACAGAGCAGTTAAGTAAAATACTGGAATGAAAATACAAAAAAAAGTATCTTGCTAGTTAACCCTATCCTTACAAAGGACTCTCAACATTTCTTTTCCTAGGAATGGGTTCAAGTTGGAGCATTCTGGCACAGCCTGACAGGGCCTACGTTTGATACCAGCATCTGTGCAGGGAACTCCAATTCAGGCTAACAGTTTTACAGATTTTCCTGCAGCCTGGAATTTTCTAACCCAATCAAATATTAGGAGCACAGGCTCAAAGTCTCCCTTCAAGCCTGCTCTTCACCTATTGCTGCAAAAGTCTAGATAACAGGTTAAGACACCAAGGGGGACAACTGGTAATGATCTACCATGTCTCCCTTTAAATATTGGTTACACAATCAGATGAGCCCAGGATTCTATTCCATTCTTAGCTCTCTTGATGGCCATATCCCATTGGCCTCTATTGTCTGTTTGCCTTCCTAGGCAATTGGTTGGACACTGTGTGAAACAAGATGGTGGACTAGATGGACCACCTGTGATCTAGTAGGCTCTTCTTATGTTATGATTGCCAAGTATGTGTTCACAAATATTATTGGTTAGAGCCTGGAGCTTCCTCACAGCACTCCTAAGTAAAGCTTTTGGGAACCAAGTTGTCCGAATCGCTTTGGTCTTAATGCTGTAGGTTATTTGTAGTGATTTCAGAGATCAAGTATTGTGCTATAAATGATTTTTTTTTTACTACTCATACTTTTATTTGTTTTCTTAGAGTGCCCTGATGGTCTTCTGTGTACTTCAACCATACCTTCTCATTACAAACGTTATAGTCATTTTCTACTTGCTTCAAGCAGAGCAGGGGATCCTCTTGTGGAATTCTCATCTTCCAGCTTAGGAAACTGTTTTTTTGGTCCTGGTGCTTCTCAGTCCATTAACTGTAGCAGTACCACTGAAGATGGGGCATTGAAGGATTTGAACAGGAGCATGGGAAAATCTCCAGATTGCTGTGTTCTGTTACAGCAGAGTTCATCAAATACAAATTCTGTGGATGTGGTTAATATAAAGACTTCCTCTTTGGAAAACATTCAAGGTATCCATCAACACAGAATACAGTTCACAGGTGGTACAAATCAGGCTATGAGTCTGGGCCCCTTTTCTCAAGAAACCAAAGGCAGTCTTCATCAGGAAAGTCAATATGACTCACTTCAATTAAACACTCTAGTCGCAAAAGCTGACTTCAGCGACTGTGATATTTCTTATTCTCCTCTGAATACAGATGAAGAAAAATCTACAGAAGAGGAAGGGGAAGAGGAGGAAGAGAAAGAAACAAAGGTTAAACATCTCAGAAAAAGATTATTTGCTGTCAAAAGCCCAGAAGACAGGAGTGCAAAAGCTGGAAGCTGCGTCCTTAATAAACCAGCTGGTACTTCACAACAGAGGGAACTTGAGCATAACAGTGTTGAAGTAATGATCAGTGACTGCTGTGAAACTTTAAATATATTCCCAATTATGGATGGAGTTTCTAAGTCTTTTTCACAAGCTAGCATTTCCAGAAGGATTTTAACAAACAATCTTGACCTGGTGAAACACACTACAGAAGAATTTCCTACTCCTCTTGATTTCAAGAGTAGTGGGGAGGAGTTTGAGGGCCTTAAACTGAGTTCTTCCATACCCAATGCAGGTAAATGTGAGTCGAGCAATTGTAATTCAATAGCCAAGTCAGACACTGCTGTTAAAAACAAGCTGCTGGCATTGAAATTCACAGAAGAAAGCATTCAGCCTTTTCAACACCGGCAAGCTGGCTCTTTAGAGAAGTCCTGCAGTATAGCTAAAACTATTCCTGATTCATGTGGAAATACACTGTCTCATAACAATTCATATTCAATCATGAAAAAAGAAGGAAGGCTTAGTAATACTGTAACTGTGCCTGTTTTTCCGAGTACTGTTTCTCAAAAATTGCCACATGTTTCTGCTGCAAAGCTTAAAGTTCAAGCCATTCCAGCCAAGGAACTTAAACAAATGGACATTGGTGTTTTCTTTGGGTTGCAACCGAAAGCAAAAATGGAGAGTGACCAAAAGAAAAATCTTTGTGAGAAAACACACACATTGAGTCCACCCACTGCTTCAGGAAAGAGGTCCAGATCTAGAAAGAGGAAAGCTGAAGGCTCATTGGGAGACTCGGATGTGGTTATGGAAAGCTCAAGAAAAACTCCCACCCATGCAGAGCCAGCGTTTGGTGGGCAGAGACGCTGGCGAAAAAGATTTAGAGAGTCATGGACAGGTGAAGGTGAAACAAGAAAAAAACAGTGTCCTTTCTATAAGAAGATACCAGGTAGTATGTTCCGTTTCTTATTGTGTTGCCAAGTTTTCCCATTGATGGTAAAAACCATATTTTCTTTCTATGATTTCTACAATGTCTCTACTGCATTTCTTCTACACCTGCTCCAGCTTTTTCTGAATTAATTAATTAATTGGAGGAAGAAAACCTGTATCATTTGTTAACCAAAATATGCATGAAAATGTGATCTATTTTTCAATGAAGCATCAATATGCAAAACAAATCTAATTATACAGAGAAATGTGAAACTATATCATAAGAGCTTATGTTATTTTCCTGGAATAATAAGCCTGAAGGAATTTTTTTAAACAACAACAAAAACTTCTTAAAAAGACTAACCAAATTAAGTAATATTAGAATTGTGTTCCCAAATTAGATACTTCTTTCTGACATGTACTGTTTCTTAGTTATTACTAAATCTTATTAAGTTGTTACATTGTTGTCAATAGTTGTTCATGCATTTCATGTTTTATTTGCTCTTTGAATACGCAGTTTGCTTTATTTTATATGTTTGAGAAACTGACAATGCCATTGTAACCAGGTCTATTCAAAATCCTGCTCAGGTCTATTCAATGGGGCCAATTGCCAGGAAAGTGCTCTTAGGATTGCAGTATAAATTTATAGTCTGAAATTAGTTACCCAAATAGGCCGTCTCCTAATTAATTGGGGGGATTTGCGAAAGAGCAAGAGGCAGGTAACTGGAATTCTCCACCTATGTATACCAGGATTTTTCCTTTTAAGGGAACTCTCAAATAAACCAGGCAGATGGTCAACCAGAAAGGTCTTTATTAAAAAGAAAATGAAATAAACAAAAAATGAATACAAACACAGAAGAACTAACTAAGAAAATAAGGAGGAAGGGGAGAGATTTTTAGGGAAGGGTGATCATTACTGATTTTGAAGAGGTCCACAGAAGCAGCAGTCAAAGAGCAAAAACAGCCAGCATTTTGGGAAATGAAAGTGGGGGTGTGAGGAGGGATCCAAGGCACCAGGGTGGTCTGATTATAGGGCAAAAATACCCTTACGCTGGGAGGATGTGCTTGCCAGAAAACAATGACGTAGTGGCTTTACTGGAGATAGACAAAAGGTGTAAGAGGCTTGATGGTTCTATAAGCACCAGACTTGAAGAGCAATTTAAGTGTTGATTAATTGCCACTTAATCAGGGGGTAATGGGTATGGGGAAAGCGAGGCTGGGGTGTTGATGGGATTATGCTGAATGAATCAGTAGGACTTGGGCAACCCATTGTTCTTAAGTCATGCATCTCTCCAGGACAAGAGTGGGGTAGTAGCCAGCCACTCTGACTCGCATATTAAAATTGTTTTCCCAGGCTAATGCCTGGCTGGCATCCATCTCAGCCCATTTTGGCCCAAGCAGTGCCCTGCACCTCAAATATTGAGTGTGATATTAAGACGGGTGTTTCTCTCTCTTCCCATAAACTGCCCCTCTGTGGGAGGAGGGGTCTGACTGCTAATATCACTGCATGCTTACTCCTACGTAAATGCCCTTAGGACTGTAGCCTTAAGGGTTTTAGTATACAAAATTATACTAGTCTAGCAAAAGAATGAAGTAATTCACTTGAAATGCTTCCCTTGGATGTGTTTCTTATTCATCCATATAGACATACACTGTGAGCTCTACCACCCTAAAACCAGAAACCATCTCTCTCCTCTGTATATGTCTGGAGTTTTCCTAGTTCTTCTTGCCTTTCAGCTGTCCAGCCCCTCTTAGTATCCCTGTGGTTTAATATGTTAGGAACTTTTGAGGCCCTGAGCTCAGCAAATCTAGGATTTTGTGTTGAAAATCCCATTAACTTAAACAGTAATAAATGCATTAGTGTGTTTAATTTATATATTTCATTGTTAAGAATTTTAAAACAATTTTTAAACTATATTATTTTGTGAGGAACTTGCGAAAAACAAAAAAACACGGTTTCTGGAAAAGTGAGAAACAAGAAGGAACTGGAAACAGCAGGAAGACACATGCATGTCTGGTTCTTGTTGTTAGTCTTACAGAAGAGAAAATGTGCACAGATATAATTTGCTTCTGTGGTTTACCTTGACATTTTGCATTGCTTGGCCTGGTTTGAAAACGTCTGTTAAAATGATGCTCAGGACTTTATAGCTAGTGTGGTGTAGCAGTTAGTGTGTCAGACTGAGACCAGGGTGATCCAGTTTCAAATCCATACCTTGTCATTAAGGTCGTTGGCTTAATTAGTCAGTCACTTTCTCTCAGTTTAACCTTCCTCATAGGGTAGTGGCGAGGATAAAATGGAGGCCGAACATTGCATGTGTGGGTAAATATGGAAGATAGATGAATTGTGTTTTTTTTAAGGATCGTAGCTGTTCCCATGTATATGCGCTAACGAAATTGTATGGATTTGTTATAGGAACAGGTTTTGTAGTAGATGCGTTCCAGTATGGAGAAATTGAAGGATGCACAGGCTATTTCCTGACACATTTTCATTCTGATCATTATGGTGGCCTCACAAAAAAGTTTACATTCCCAATATACTGCAATAAGGTACGTTTTTTTGTAAGTCTCGCATAGATGTACCCTATAACCTTTATAGTGACTTTATACTGAACATGGCTGCATACAGGCATCACGTTTAACCATCTTTAAACCAGGAGGTTCCTGCTCCTGGCTTGCTGCTGGCCTCATGAAGGCTTCTTGCTCCACCTCGTCCCTTTTCCCAGAGAGAGCACAGCAGTAGGTATACTGGGAAGGGCTTTTAGTGTAAGTCAGATAAGTTTCTGGAAACAGAGAAGTGTTTCTCTATTTTCTTAGTTTCTTAGCCATTGGGAGTGGTCTGTCCAGCCTCTGTTGTTTCTTTCATGCATGTTTCCTCGGTGATCTGTTATCAGGTTTTTCTGGTGCTTCTTTTCTGCATTGCAAGACCAAACCACAATCATATTCTCTAACTGTATTTCATTGACAGTGTACCTACCAGACAGTCTTTATTTATAAACACATGATTAGGTTATTTGTCTTTATTGCTTAAGATGAATTTGAGTGTCACTATCATAGAAAAGGGAATGAATTAGAATAGCCCAGGCCTCAACGGATCTGCTTGGCAGAGGGCCTGTGGTGCCTTATTTCCAGCCCTTCTGACAGCCCAACAGAACTGGCACCCATAGCTGTTCCTCAGAGGCAGGGTTGGGGTGCTGCGTAAGAAGCTTTTGCCCCATTTTCCCATGTAGTATTCCATTCTCTGCCTTTTATGTACAGCTTTCCCCCAAAGGCCTTGCTTAAGAGGCAAGGAATGGGGTGCTTTTTAACAAGTTCTTTTGGTAGCTGCTGTGATGCCTCTTGGGGCTTTTGGCACGAGTAGCTAATGTGGCAATTCCACTTGTCTCAAAAGTTGTGCCTAAGAGGGGGTACTGGAGCCCTTCTTTAGAAGGCATAGCAAGGGAGCACATGCAAGGAGAGTTCAGATGGACAGTAGACAAACAGAGAATGACGGACGGATAAGATTCTGTGTCGCCTAATAGAAAGCACTAAATAATACATAGAAGAGTGTGCATTTAGCCCTCCTTTCCATTCAAAACATAGTCTCACGTGCAGTCTTTTCTTTTAAGAACCCTAGCTGGACTTTGTTATATGCTTGTAAACTTAATATGTATTTTGCCAGTAAGATTGCATCAGACGTCCTACTCCAGCACTCTGCTCTTTTTGCCCCCTTTTGCATATTTGTTTCTGCCTGGCACGTATGCTAACTGGACGCTTTCTGGTTTCCCTTTCCAAGTACTGAAGATGGAACTTTTTTCAAATAAATAAATATATAGGTAAAATATTTTATACCACTTTTCCACCCAGCTTAGTGTCCCCAAGCCAGCCCACAATCAAAAACATTGAAACAAGTTATGGAAACAAACAACTGTCAAAAGGGTGACAAGGAAGGTAGACAAAAAGGGGTTGTTACTCTTGCCAAGCCATTTACTTTAAACGTTTTCAAAAGCTCCTGTTGACTAAGGCCAGTGCGTCTCCATGCCTCCAGTGCCACCAGAATTACACAACTTAGTTCAAAGTAACTGTATAAATGCCAGAAATCTATCTGTTGCAAAGCTGTGTACAACTCTAAAGCAGTGTTCCCTCTAAGCTGAGTTAGCTCACAGTTTTTTAGCCTCCAGCTCACACATTTTTGTCTTAGCTGAGGAAGGATGGCTCCAGAGCAAACTAATTTATGCAGCAGCCAAGGTGCTTGCTCACAACTTTAATGCCAGTAGCTCACAAAGTAGAATTTTTGCTCACAAGACTCCACAGCTTAGAGGGAGCATTGCTCTAAAGTACTTTAGGAAAATAAGCAAATGCAAAAAGTACTATCCAAGCAATATATGAAAACTGGCACAACACACTTATATGTGGTCAAAGGATCTGTGGTGGGAAAAATTGCTCTGATCTAGTTCAGGTGGTAAAACCTTTGGTGGACAGGTACTTTCAAAATGCTGGTGGGGAACCTAAGATAGAGTACTCCCTATACAGGCTGTCCCTGTTCATAGAAACCGCAGCGTGGAAAGTTTATCCCAGAATCTAGTCATTTTTTTTGTGTGTGCATGTTTATAGCCAAAATGTGGTGTAAGATTTTGGGGGGGGGCTGAACTCCATATGTCCCCTCTACAGAGACCTGCTTGAGGCAGGTCACATGATTATGGGAAAAAAATGTATTTGTTATTGTTAAGTCTGGCTCCGAAATTTTTACACTGGGTCTTAGATCTGAAGAAAATGTATCAAGGCTTCCAAAGTTACATTTTTTCAAAGGCATTTGAAAGGATGGTATATAAAATGTCATAGCTGTTCCTTTAGAAAGAGGTTCAATTGCCCTGAAGAAGTCCCCTAGATAAACTGTATCTGTGGAGGTTTCCTCTTTCTAGTTTTGCCGTCTATCTGTAGGTCTTCAACATTCTAACAGTTGACTTCTGAAAGGTATAGGCTTTTTCATCCCTTGAATATTAGGTGGTTCAAATTACACATTACATTTTTGAATGAGTTGGGTCTGGGTTCCTTTGACCCAGCTCACTTTACCAATTTGTCCCAGGACCACAGCATGGGGGGAAGAGGGGTTCCTCCCTCTCTGCCATTTTTCCAAATTGAAATGGCCCTGGAGGGCAGAGTCATTTGCCCCATTTTGGAGCTATATGTGCAAGGCATACTGTATGTGTTCCTTCCTGGCGTCATTTCAGCTCATGAAAATGTTGTAAGAAAAGGCAGGAGCCCCTCCGCCCATCATGGCATGAACCTGAGCCAAATCAGGCCCCTGCCATTTTCTGTAGCTGCTTTATGGCTGTGTGGAAAGCCAGCTGGATCTGGAAATGTAAGGTGTAGTTTGGCCCTTAAGTCTTTCTGCATCAGATAAAATTGTGGGTAATTGACAAAATGGGGAATATTGTTGGCTAAACACTCTTGGTTTTTCAGATAACTGGAAATCTAGTGATGAGCAAGCTTCACGTGCAAAAACAGTGTGTCCACATCTTGCCAATGGATAAAGAATGCATAGTAAATGGGATCAAGGTGGTATTGCTCGATGCTAATCAGTAGGTATCTTTGGCAAAACCAGCATCAGTGTTTAACAGTTAAATTAATGTATTTTAACTAGAGATCTTTATTATCTATATGGATTTGAATACATGAATTCCAGCAGTGTGTCCACATCTTGCCAATGGATAAAGAATGCATAGTAAATGGGATCAAGGTGGTATTGCTCGATGCTAATCAGTAGGTATCTTTGGCAAAACCAGCATCAGTGTTTAACAGTTAAATTAATGTATTTTAACTAGAGATCTTTATTATCTATATGGATTCGAATACATGAATTCCAACAGTGTGTCCACATCTTGCCAATGGATAAAGAATGCATAGTAAATGGGATCAAGGTGGTATTGCTCGATGCTAATCAGTAGGTATCTTTGGCAAAACCAGCATCAGTGTTTAACAGTTAAATTAATGTATTTTAACTAGAGATCTTTATTATCTATATGGATTCGAATACATGAATTCCAACTCAAAATGCCTTTCTTCTCATCCTCCACCGTTTCACTCCCTGGCAGTTGTCCTGGTGCTGCAATGATCCTTTTTTCCCTTCCAAATGGGACCGTTGTATTGCACACAGGAGACTTCAGAGCAAGTCCTTCTATGGAGCATTATCCTTTTCTGATTGGCCAGAAAGTTCACAGTCTGTACTTGGATACTACGTAAGTTATTTAGTCTGCATTACGTCCTAGAGCTATTCTGCTGTAGATTTAGTTATGCTTACACTATGCTGAGATACTTGTGAATCTGATCTCATTCTCTTCCTGATGCTACAGACAATCTGGGGATCTGGGGCCCCGGATAAGTCATGGGGCAGATTATGTTGCCTCTTTCTAGTCACAGAAGGCACAGCAGTTTTATGCTTTGTCTCGTCCATTTGTCCTAACATATGTAACAGTTGCAAGGGCCATAGCAGACTCTGTTCCATATTGCACCGCTCTCCCCCATAGGACTGTAACTTGCTCACATGATCTTTCATTGCATTTTTAACCAGTTTTGGGCAATTTGGAGTTCTTGGAATTGAGTTCCTCAGCACTTGAGGACACTTTTGGCATTCCTAGACTCTGACCAATATCTGCACACTATTCCTATGCATTCCATTGGTACTTCTTACATCTTTGGTACCTGCATACATCTGCTTCCTTCCACTTTGTTTGACTGAGCTCACACCCTGCCTGACTCATATACATCATGTTCTGCTAATGTGGGCAACAATACCATCAAATGTATTACATTACTGTGACAGATTTTGCTTAGTTGATATATAAACAAACAACCCACCCACCTGACTGCATAAAAGTTGCAACCTGTATGAAATGAATGCCATCTTTATAAATGTTAACAATGATCAGTGAAAAGTAACATTACAGGATGAAAAGCACAAAATTTTTGAAAGCAAACATAAAATTATCAAGCATATATTAGAAAATACATAATAATAGGGAAGCGGTTAAAAGTAGTATTCCTTACGGTGATCAGTGCAATGTTAGCTACAGTGAGATGGAAAACATTACCATCCTCATCTTATGCAGCCAGTCTTCTGTGCTGGTTGTTGTATTAGGACCTGCAACAGG